CTCAGAATTAGAATCATGAACAAAGCTAGAAATTTATGTAAGAGAGGACAAATACCATGCACTGAAATTAATTTAAGCATTAAAATTAAGTAGATGATTTTAATTGGTGATTAATAAAATTAAAGTCAAATGAAAAATAAATGTACTAAATATATCATTCATTTGTACCTTAATGATTAGTAATGTTATTGTCATCTTTTTAATTGTTAATGTTATATTTTTTTATTTTAATTATTTATTATATAATTTAATTTATTAAATATATAACAAAAATGTAAAACTTTTTTTAAAAATATAATATAAAAATATGATAAATAATTATATTAAAAATATAAAATTAACTATTTAAAATATAATAATAATAATATCAACCTTTATAACACTTGTTAAAAGAGAATTACAAATGAATAATCATCTAAGAATGACAAGGAAAAGTTTTCAAAGGCCAAGGGCTTTTATTGGCTTTAACACTTCAATTCAATTCGATAAATTCCATCTAACATCTCTACCCTTTCTATTATGAAACATTTAACTTCAATTTTAGGACCTCATAGTCCTTTACCATAATTTTGACTGGCTTAAGAAATATATTGTTGAGCTACACTGTTTTCCCATCCGAAGTTAATGTTTAGAGGATAATTAGGGTATTGAAATAAAGGTTGAGGATTTTGACGGTCTTAAAATAGAAGTTAGGAATAAAAGTGTCTCATGTTAGATAAGTGAGGAACAATACCCAAGCATTTTTCTTGATCCTAGAAAGATACTTGATCAAACAAAGGATTGAATCCCAGTTTCCCAAAATGCAGAACGTGTTCTAACTTTTGTACGGTATTTTTTTTCTTTTTTTTTAAGAAAGAGCTGGGAAATGGAAGAAGAAGAGATTTGATATTTCCGCAAGGAGCGTTTGAAAGAAAGTTTACATAAGTAAATAGCAATACCATGCATGCGAAATTGTTGGGCAAAGTGGGAGCACTGTGGGAGTCATTTCCCCGGGTGAGTTTAGTTGACTTGACAGTTGTGTTCAACGGTTTGGTACTTTACTTCGCCGTGTTGGGGATTACGCCGGTTGAGTTTTGTTGACTTGACAGTTGAGTTAAACCGTTTGGTACTTTACTTCGCCGTGTTGGGGATTATGCCGTCTGAGTTTTGTTGACTTAACAGTTGAGTTCAACGGTTTGGTACTCTACTTCGCGGTATTGCTGTCAAGTTCAACGGTTTGGTACTTTACTTCGCGGTGTAGGGGATTATGTTAGGCTGTCGGATCATGGCCGTAAACGGTGCAATCTAGAGGGAAAATTACTTAAATTTAGGGGTGGGCATTTGGGTCGATAACCGAAAGGTTAGCCAAAAATCGAATCGAAAAAATAAATTTAGTTTGGTTTTAATAGTTTTTAAGTTTTATT